CAAACGCAGAAGGAACTCCTGGATCGTCAGTTGTTCAGGTGGAAGGCGACATTCACATCGACCCGGTGTTAGTTTCTCGCAGCGTTTATATCACAGGATTTCGACCGACAACAAAATCGGAAGACCTACTTATTCATTTTCAGCGTTCGAGAAACGGCGGCGGTGATATCGACGGCATCGTTATCAGTAAGCGAGGAGCTGCAGTAATAACATTTGACAGCCCGGAAGGTAAAATGTTTATACTAGACGGTCCTCAGTGTTTGTCTAGAGACTGAAAGTAGGTCAGGATGTGTCTTTCATCTTCAGTAATAGTAAAAGTACAGTTTTACGTTTTCGTTTGTTGTGATTCGAGCTTTAGAAACGTCGTAGTATTCCAAGGATCATTTAAGTAAGTTATCTTCAAGCACATACCTTCGAGATAACAGCAGACATTGTACGACCTTTTAATTTACAGGCGAGTATACAGGACTCGCTATATATAACTAGCTCTTACTTGACTACTGAGCCAACACGTTTGTAAACTACTCATGCAGAACTGTACATTAATTTGCTTGAACGTTTTTATTTGGCTCGATTACCAACTGCTGTTTCGGGAAGTAAGCCCTAGCCCACCCCCCCCCCCTTCCCCCCTTACCGAGGCACGTGGATCCGAGGATTAAAAATGTCGCACCATTACGCATTGCACTTGCGAGATTTCACATTCTAGATCACAAATTTTTAGTATTCTCGGAAGTAATCATGGGTTTCTCTAGCTAAAAAAAATAAAGAAGTCAAAGCTTGGGTTTATCAGAATTACTAGCCCTTGACTCTCTCTTAGTGTTGCGTTACTCTAGCCTGCGTAAAAGGTGTAAAACGGGGGAGAGGGGAAGGGGGCGATGGAGAGCGGGGATGACAGTAGGGGGAGTGGAGGAGATAGGAACCTTCCCCTTTTTCCTTGAGTCTTTCGCCTCGCTTACCCTTCTCCCTTTACGCCAGCAACGCAGGCTGCGTTATACCAGATGTATCTCAGTAGCCATATTTCAGAGATCTGGCATAACAATAGGTGTCAAATTTTCTTTTTGTACTTTGTTATACTGGGTTGCTGTGTGTCAGGGATCCTATATTTGAGAAGATTATAACCGGTGACATGTGGTCTGCACAAGCGATATTGGAAAAGGATTTTCAGATTGTTACCAGGGATACAGGGATTTGTTTTATCCACTCCGATCTGTTCTGTTTTGAGTCAGGTGGCTCTCCAGTAATTACCCCTGACCCTTTTCAACAGAAAACGAGCAGACTATTTTTAATACTGATAGTAAACAAAGTTAACCGTACTGTCACTGATTGTAGTCAACTTCAGTCATCTTTAGCGATAGACCTTTCCTGCATTCCAACCAACAATGGCCCCGAGTTGAGGTCAGGATGAACAAAAATACAGCAAATGTATGAAAATGTCCACCCCAACCTTGCTCTGAACTATTGTTCGAACGCACTGAGGTAGGATGCGGGAAAGGTCTAGTCAGTCTACTTTTGTCAAAAAATACATACTCACTGGGTAATTACATCCAAATCAACGCTTTGATTATGACAAAGATATCTTTTATGACTTGAAAACACTCTCATAAATCACTTTAGTACAGATCTAGTTTGCTTTTCATGCCAACAAATGTAAAACCAGTTCCGTGGATGCTGTTACATGAGCGGTGTTTTCTTGTACCATTAGTTGCGAAAAGAGTTCTACAGAAGAAACAGGAGTTTAAAGGAGTGACTTTACTGGTGAAACCATACGAGGAAAGCATAAAGAAGGATAATCATAGCTTTGAGGTAAGGTGGTGCATTGCTCTAAAATTTGATGTTCACGTCACGCGAAAGATAGGTTGCTTACTTTACTCTTTAAGCTTCTTTAGTTGTTTTGGGTTTGTGAAGACACACTGTATATATGTTCTTTGATGAATGAAAATTACTTTCAAGTGTGATTTTCTCCTCATTCAAAATGGCTGGGAATCCACTGGGTGTTATCATAGGAACTATTATAAAACTATATATGATCCCACCTAGACAATGCTATTTGGAGACTAATTTGGTTTAAATTATCATTTTTTCCATAACAGAAAGTGAAAGTAGTAGCTAGTAGTTAGTTTTCTGGGGATGCCAATGATTGGTTCGTTGACGCTGGACTCGTCGAAACAAGAGATCTTCTCTCAGTCTTTTCATGGCATGACATTCCCCTGCCATATGGGTTGATCTGGCAACCTGGAAAAGGATAGGTGGCCCTGGCATTCCATAAAAGAAGGGAGGGAAGGGGGGTGGAGTAATGATACTGGTCGCTTGATACTAAAGAAACCGTAGTTGCTATCATTTGGTTCTGATATCCCTGATAACCGTTCGATCAGTAAATCTGGCAGGCAGGCAATGCATGTAAGAAAATAAACTAGAGACGAAAAGCGTTTCAACGGCTTGAGACCGCTATATATCGTAAAATCTAAAAGTTTTATTGAATTCATTTAACGAGCTTTTTTAAATTACCAGTTACGACGCGTGGTTAATAGCAATAAACTATAACCAAGTTTTCAGCAAAATTTCTTAACCCATAGAGAATGACATGGCTGACATGGCTGACATGGCTGCCCTGCGCGCGGGAATTGGAACCCAGTTTCCCTAGCAAGCGTTCCAGCAGAAAAGAGGCGAGCAGGAGGTTGAAGGGGTGAGGGGGGTTGGGGAATAGAGAGAAGAAGAAACACTTTCCGGCAGACACCATGATTCTGAGAAACGTCTACCGACTTTTCGCTGTTGAGTTCATTCATGATAGCCTGTAAAGAAATCACCGCACCGGTAAACTAAATTGTTTAAGCAATAAACCACTCTCTATTGGTTTACCGACGCAATGAACCACTTGGTATGTTGAGAGAACACTCGAAAAGCTTAATCAATTTTATCTTTAAAAACACAGCAACGCTTTTTCATATATAACTACTCCTGTACAATGAAACTTTATAAATTCAAAATATTCGTTAACTGCTAACTTATTTAAACTAACCAATTAAATCAAAGAAACCAATAAGCTTTTCTCGTGTTCTCCTAATATCCCGCGTGGTTTATTGCGCCGGTACGCCCATATATAAAGTGGTTTATTGCTTAAATATCGTGATAATGATATCTCAGCCAGTGAAAGCCGAAATCAATACACAGGTTATGTTCTCGCTAGTGTTCTGAGTTCTCTAGTTCTCACGTTGCGCTGGGTAACGGAAAGCATGCGTTTACCGGTACAATAAACGATAGGTTTTTGACCAATCACAGTGCGCATAATATCTCAATTATTTAGGAAGTTTAATAACCCGAAATTGCATGTAAAAGAACTTTCGCAATTGCTTCTGCACAATTAATTCATCCCTCCTTTTCCTCCCCCCTCTCGTCCCTTCCGCCTCGTTCGTGGGGGAACGGACTTTTATAAAAGGTAGGGGTCTGCTGGCAGGCGTTCGCTTTTCTCTCCCCTTCCCCCGCCTGTTATTTCCTATATTATCGCCCTTGCCTCATTTTTTTTGCGGCCTAAATGAGAAAACTCTAATTCGCATAGGAACTACGGACGGAATCCGGCTTGCTACGCAAGCTACAGGATTCCAAAGTCTTCACTCTTCATTTGGTTGATCTACTACGTAGCCCTGGTTCATTTCGGACAACTACGATTTGCCACGGCTTTTGCCCATGAGTCACATGACTATGCGAACTGATTTGGCTCAGTGCATTTTACCCTGTCTTTCTTTCAGCGTCTTCTGAATATTGATTAATAAAATTATCCTTACACCAGACAGACATAACTGAGGAGCCGGTGGATGTCATCGTCAACGCAGCCAACGCTGCCCTTCAACACGCTGGTGGTACAGCAAAAAAAGCGTGGGATAATGGTGTCTTTACTAATCTCAGTGCTCGCGAACACCAGACTTCACAGGAAGATCGATTCTCGGTATTAAAGCAGCTTCTGAGCCATGGGGTCGAATTTTCCCTGTACAAGAACGATATAACTGATGAGAAAGTGGATGCCATTGTAATTGCAGCCAACGAGTGGCTTCAACACGGTGGTGGTGTGTCAGCTGCAATAATGCACAAAGGAGGTCGTCTGATTGAAGAAGAGTCCAGGCGAATTATGTTGAACAGAAATAAGCGACCGCTTAACGTAGGCGATGCTGTATATACCAAGGGTGGCAATCTGTCTTGTCGATATGTCATACACACGGTTGGTCCGAGATGGAATTACCATAACAGACAAAGGAGCATCTCGCTTCTTCAACGAGCATGCATGGAAAGCCTCTACCTTGCAGCAGAGTTGAAGCTTTCGTCCATTGCCCTTCCAGCAATAAGCTCTGGTATTTTCGGTATACCAAAAACCATTTGCGCCCAAGTGATGTTCAAAGCAATCGAGGAGTTTAGCTTACTTGCTGACGCTGAATTCAGCACTCTCCGTGACGTGCGTATTGTTATCATTGACGACGAAACAATCAGTGTCTTCCGTGAAGAGTTTGTGAAACGCTACACGTCTCAAGAAACGTCATCAACAACCTCGCCGCAACAGGAATACCGTCCACATCCGTTCATTGCGGACCAAGGAGCTTCTTTCTCCTTAAACGTCACTGCCAAGCGTGCTTCTTTTTCTTCAGCTGACGATTGGTCCGAAGTACAATCCAAGAAGAGAGGTAAAGACAGTGGTAATGACAAGTCACCAAATAAAGGAGTTGGTTCAAACGTGGAGAGCGATGAACCCCGTGAACAGATGCTCGATAGTATCAAGAAAGTTTACCCTTCCAACAACAAAAATGTTCCAAATACAAACAGAGACGATCCGCCCAATTGCAATAAAAAGTCAAGTTTGGAAACTAAAGTTCATGGCTCCGACAAAGAAGTTCATGGCTTCAACAAAGAAAAATGCGTGAAAGGCTCTCCTTTGAAGAAACGTTGTGAGCTGTCAAACGTGGCTACTGTAGCTAGACCATTGTCTGGATGGGGAAGAGGCATTTTAGCAAGGGACTTGTATAGCAGACCATACGAAGAAGAAGGATCTAAGTCACGTGAAAGCATCCAATTAGCTAACACAGTTGGAACAAAGAGTGCAAACGCTGTAAGAGGTAGGGGTATCAAATATGACAAGAGGTCGCAATAAGGATTTCTTGAAGCTTTCTACATCAAGAACCTAAAGCCTAGCATTACTAAGAGGATCAAAGCCTCTAGAAAGTGAAATCTTTCTCTTTTTTCTGTTATCATGTTATCATTGCTTGTTTATACGCGTAATCAGCCTTGATATATAAGCTCTTAGCTGTCCCCTTGTTTTGATCTAACCACATGACTATGAATGTTTTTGCACTGTAATAAGCCCCCTTGTTCTTTATGTCTTTATAAGATGATTAACGGTAGTAGGACCAGCCGATGATTGATATATATTATGTACAGAGTTCGCTTGTTAATGAATGGCGTAGTAAACTTTGGATTACAATTTGTTAACATGTGCCTGACCAAATCTAACTGAAGAATATTGCCCGCTTAGCATTTTAAGAGCCGAATGAACTCTTGGTTAGATTTCAGGAAGGCACTTAACTTAATGTAGAACTACTAAACACTAATTAAACCGCGAAAATGAGCAGTGTATTTCTTTTCTATGGCACATGCAAATTCAATAAATTACTGATCGAGGAGCATTAAGGCTGAAAAGTAAGAGAACAACAGATTTCGTAAAATTACAGCACAGCTTATTTTATCTGGTATGATTATAAAGTCAACAAATGTAGGTTTTGTTCCTGAGGTTTTTTTAAGCTGGGAATATTTTAATATTTAAATATTTTTAGTATTCTTAATATTTTTAATATTTTAATGCTTTAAGGCTGCTACTCTCGCTCATCTGTTACAGATCCAAGAAATCCCATCGTAAATACTACAAAGCCTGTGATCGTAAGTGTTGAGACGGGATGTCCAGTGTTATGACATTTGATTTTTCGAGTATGTACCGAGGGTCGATTAACCCTGACTATAATTCTTCTGTTCGTTTTGTCTTAGGAGAGGAAGACGGAAGAGGCTGGGTCTGTAAATACAAGTGAAATACCTACTGAAAAACAAGATTCTAAACAAATGAAAGAAGGCAGCGACGAAAATAACAGCTGGCGTCAAGTACAGAGTGATGTTGCGCAGATGCGTCAAGCCCTTGATGACGAAAAACGTGCTCGCAATATCAGAAAACAGGAACTAAGGCAGAAGGAAACAGTTCTTATAAGTTCATTAGAGGGTAATTTACGTGCAGAGCAACAAGCAAGAACAAGAGTGCTAGAGGAATTAAGTCGGGCGAGGATTGCTAGTAACGAGCTGAAAGAAAGAATGCAAACTGAACTAGCGCAGATTCGTCAAGCGCTCGAAAACGAGATACGTTTGCGCGACACAAGAGAGCGGCAACTAAGAGAAAAGGAAACGATTGTAGACCAGCTACAGAACACGTTAAGCAAAGAGCAGCAGGTGAGAGCAAAGTTGGAAGAAAGATTGCAAATGGAAATGCTGTCAAGTCAAGCTCGTCAACAAGAGCTTCAGATTAAAGAGAATGCTTCTCGAGAGCAACAGCGTCTTTTGGAAGAAAAACGCCAACAGAAGACAGCTTTGGAAGAAAGGCTAAGAGAAAAGGAAACGATTGTAGATCAACTGCAGAACACGTTAGGCGAAGAGCAGCAAGTGAGATCAAAGTTGGAAGAAAGATTGCAAACTGAAATGCTGTCAAGTCGAGCTCATCAACAAGAGCTGCAGACGAAAGAGAGCGCTAATAGAGAACAACAGCGTCTTTTGGAAGAAGAGCGCCAACAGAAGACAGCTTTGGAAGAAAGGCTAAGAAACCTGGAACTACTGATGCAAGAAGAAAGGAACAGATACTTGTCCAACGAAAGAGAGTTGCAGTCAGCTGTGTCTGCGGCCCAAGAGGAACTGAGTGAATACCAGCGTCACCAACCACGTGATTGGATTATCCAACGCGAAGAAGTTCTTCAGAGTGCCAGTGTTTTGGGCAAAGGAGCCTGGGGCGAGGTACGTGAGGGCACATTTCGTGGTTGCCAAGTTGCTGTTAAGGAAATTCACGAGATCATTCTATCAGCTCATAATCGTAGACTGTTCGAACGGGAAATGAGCATTGCGTCCTGTTGTCGCCATCCGAATCTCTTACAGTTTATTGGCGCCACTAACGATGATGGCAGTCCTTTGTTTGTCACTGAAATATTAGACACTAGTTTAAGGGACTTGTTGTCCGAGCGAGTGTTAAATCACGAGGAGATTATCAGCCTTGCCTCGGATGTCGCCAAAGGATTAAATTACCTCCACCGTAATAGGCCGCTTCCTATAATACATCGAGATATCAGCAGCGCCAACGTGTTGCTATGGAGACGAAATGAGGGTTGGAGAGCCAAGCTGTCTGACTATGGGTCGGCAAATTTTATGCGTGAATGCATGACAGAGAACCCAGGGGCAAGGATCTATTCTGCACCAGAGGTCCTCACTTCTCAACAGTCACCAAAGGTAAAGCAATAAGTGTTTTCGTAATTTAATCAACATTAAAAAAATCTTAAGAAACTGGTATAACATAAGAAGCAATGTTGTTTCAGAGAGGTCTCTGGTAATCATGTTACCTGCTTTGTTGAGACGTGCAGCTGTGCAGGCGATTTTTGATGTATCATAAAATAGGACATCAAAAATTGCCAGTAGTAATGTATTCATTACGAGTGTTATTGTGTAAATGTATTTTACTTAGAAGAGAAGTTTTTGGCCCTTTGTTCAGAAATTTGCTCTTAATTACTCGCTTGACTCAATTGACTTAACTGAACGTGTAGATAAATATAATTTTTCATAGTTAATTTCTTTATTTTGGATTGTCAAAGATGGCATTATACAAAGCTCAGCTAAGTTGTAAATGAATAGTGACAAAGTGAATTATTGTGCGTGTTTGCCCCAGTGTTTTTAGCCTGCAGAGCAGGCGAGATTTTTTCGAGCGAGCGCTCACATCGTAAACAGTTTAGCCGCCATCTTGAATTTTTCATGCAGTGGAAGACTGGGGAGAGAAAGAAAGTTTTACCAAGGGGGTGAATGATAGGCAAGAGGAAGGATAGGG